AATTGGCTTATGACCGGAAGACTGCTGGTTCCAATTGCTGGCCTGATTTGAAAAAATGAATGAATGACTGACTCAGCGCTCTCTATTCTTCTCAACTATGACTGAGCTGCCCTTGGATAAGGCATGTAACTGCCAGCTTCATCACTGGAGCTGTTAAGTGTCAAGAGCTGAGGACTGTTTTTGACTATTTTTTATTGCTGGAAAAGCTTTGATAAACCCCAAAATTCTGTTGTGATGAGAGCAGTGAGACTGAAATAAAACAGTTGAGTTCGGGGGCAGTAAAGTAAAACCAAAACAATGAGCTCAAAGGCACTAAATGTCCCACAGAGCTGAGGGGAAGGGCAGAGCCCGGTGGTAATGCTCTGTGGTGTTCCGTCACATAGAAGTTGTAATTTAATCCATTATTAATATAAAGATATTGATAGAAGAACTTAACCTTCAGGCTGATATTCATATTTGTATATTCATATCTATAGTTTAATGTTTACTGGTTCCAGCTTCTCAATTTTTCTTGTTTTATATTATTGCAATTGCCTGCCCCTTCTTCTTGTATCCTGTGATGGGCATTTTCTCACTATTTCTTAACATTGTATAGACAAAATGATTGATTAGTTAAAGGTTCAGTATGTAGGATTTAGGGGAATACATTGGCAGAAATAAAATATAATACAAGAAGTTTCCTTTTTTTTTAGTGTTTAATCACTTTAGAATAATAACCTTTGTGTTTTCCTTACCTTAGATGGAGCCATTTATATTTACAGAGGGAGCAGGTCCACCAAGTTGCATCACCATGTTACTACAATAGCCCAGAACAGACAAACAGAACACTGGCTCTAGATAAGGCCATTCACATTTACGTGCCGGACACCGTAGTGAGAAGCACATCTGCAACAAACTGTGTCAGAAAAACACGGATTTGTAATGTGAAACTGCTTTATTCAGTGTTTTTACCGGTTTAAATCACTGGGACCGTTTGTTTTGGTGAGGAAGAGACCTGTGCGAGTCATTTGGCTCCTGGTTTAAACCTCCTGAAAGTCTGGATCTTATGTCATCAGTGAAAAAATGTGAGCACACAGTAGCATGTGGTGGACGAGCCGCATATCTCTGACATGCCAAACGGTGTTGGAAATACACTGATTTGTAATGTGAAACTGCTCTTTTCAGTGTTTTTATCTGGTCCGTTTGTGTTGAAGGGAGGAGATCTCTGCAGATAAGTGGGCTCCTGAACAATGAACACTAAGGGAATTTTAACCAGGAGAAGTTTCAGCTGGTTGCAATCTATAGTCCTCACTGCTAGATGCTACTAAATCCCCCAAATCTTACACACTTTACCTTTTAACTAAAAATATAATCAGTACATTAGCTGTAAGCCCTCAGTTTCAGCTTAAGACTTAGTCACAACAATGCCTAAAGTTGACGTCCTGTTATTTGTGCATTCTTGGGACATTGGTTACTGCTATGCATTTTTCTTGAGTGGTCGCTCTTGTGCTGTGCCGCTTTAGGGTTGACAACATCTGATCAGTTGGTCAATATGCTCTTGTCCCACCAAATTCTCATTGGTTGGACAATCGCTGATGTTACTCTCACAAGGCCATGTGTCCACCAGGTGTTTTTTCCCAGCTGAAAAGCCCAGCTTGGAGCGCTTGAGAGCTCTTTGGAGGTACAGCATTGCGTCTGGTTGCTATGATGTGAAATAACTGTAGTAGTAGTAGTAGTAGCAGTAGTAGTAAATGTCAGTACTTGCTCTGGCCCTCACTATGAATAAATGGCAGGCTGAAGCACGTAGGGAGAGACGATGGACCCATCTGTCTGTGTGGCCAGAAGTATTAATTTCTCCTCCATTGTTGTTGTTGTTCTGCACTTGTATCAGTAGGATGTGATGGCTGGTCTTTGTAGTATTTGTCCCGCCCCTCCTCCACCGTGATTGAACAGCTGGGTAAAAAAGTAAAAGTGATGACGCAGTGTTTTACGGTGGCCTTTGTAATATAGTGTAAATATGTGGCGCTTCCATTGCAAAGAATTTTAAAAAATCACTACATTTATCCACCTTAACATATCAACAGACATCATCTCTTAAGAAAGTCTCATTTTCTTCCCCTCTCTTTAACCACACATGGGCTTGCAGTCGCACTCTCAGGATAGGAGAGTGCACACGCACACAACCATGTGATTTTTAATGAACATCAAGTTGAAAATGTAAACAAGGCCTTCTCAATTTCCCTCCTAACCCAATAAACTCTTTCTTACCCCATCTTTTCTCTCTCTTTCTCTATGTTGTTGTGGTGCACAGTGACCTCACAGGCTTCTCAGGCTCTGTTACCATTTGTCAATGAGTATTACACAAATTGTATTCAAGTCTATGTGAGTTTTTCGGTCCAATACATAACGTGATTTTAGTGGAGCTGTAACAACTCACTGAAGTTTATTTAAATTTATTTGAATTTCTTTATTTCTGTACCAAATTTTGAACTGTATTCATAGAACAAACATATTGTAAGTTGAGGATTTTGTTTTAGATATTCATTTCTTGTCAAAGATACAGTTCCTAGTATTTCTAATCTCTTGTTTTTATGTCCATGCTATTGTTGCATCTGCTAGAGAGCAAATACTGTGACAGATCGCTATCAAAGCATTGCAGCAACATGGTAACTTGGCTCAGGAGGATATGTCTGCTTTTATTTTGTGTTTGAGTTCACAAGTGTGGTGTGAGAATATTTTTCTCAGCTTTGACCTCATTGACCCGTGTTGTCAGTATTGACTTGTTTGTGTTCAGTTGGATGTAAATTTAAGATTGTCTGTGCACTCTCCTAATCTTATTCCCCATTCAGGCCAATCAGTACTTGAGCCCACATGTTAGCAATTCTTTATCATGTAAGCTTGATGAAAAGTCTGTTCTACTTGAGTGACTAATGTCTTTCACTGTAGGTGGTGATATTGACATCTACGTCTACATCTGCATGTACAAAGTGCTGCAGTTTCTTCACATGTATAAATGAGACTTAAATTGGCATGTGTAGTCCAGTCTGACCCTGACAAAACCGCTCCGCTTGTGGACAATCTGCAGCTGGCTAAAAATAAATGAGTGCATTTGTGAGTGAGTGAATAAGAAAGACATCATTTACATTCTTGTGCTTCACATCTAAAAATCTGATGCAGACATGCAGCCCTAATCTGGACTGTCAGACCATTGGCCTTTTAATAGATATGACCTGTTAAAGCCCAGACACACCAAACCAACATCAGAGAACTTGTGGCGACTAAAAGCTGACTGTTGTGTTGCCTCATGTCACCTGTGTCTCACCGAAAAGGTTGCACTTAAACACACCACAAAAGCTATAGCTGACGGCCAACCAGCACATCTGTTTTGCGCTTTGGAAGAGGAAATATCTCTCCATACCAACAGACAGCAGTAGTCTGTTTTTGTCATTCAAAAAGGGAAACCAGAAGATTGTCATGACGCAACTTGGCCAGTTAGCACATTATCAACACAATCCAATGTTGAGATAACGAAGCATATTTACAGCTTGCTAGCAAATAATATCACAAACAATCAGGAAGCGTTTTTACTAAAAACTTTAATTGCCACGCAACCAGAGTCGGTGATATTTGCTTCCGGTACATATATACAGGCCACTGCTTCATAGTCACAACATCAACAAGTGCAAAACTTAACTTCAGGGTGCAGATTGCAGTGGTCTAAAGAAATTGATAAACCTTTGCATGGATTTGGTCGAGTGCAGCAGAGTCCTTTGTGTTAAAGTAAAAACTGGCACACAACAAAGAGGCCCATCTCGCCCTTTGTCACTGACATAGAACTATTGTAAACACAATGCGCTGTTGTCCTGGAAGGCTCAAGGTGAAAGATAGGCTAACTGGCTCTCTCATTGCCTTTAATAGAAACATTTCTGTCACAGAGAGTCCAAATGTCTTGTACAAACAGCTATCTTTCACAGCAGACAGACATAATTCACTGCCACGCGTGCCAATGAAGGTCTGTTTACCTTTCTCAGATCAAAAACAAACTCAGTGCAGCTCACTGCAGTGTACCATGTCACGGTAACATCAAACTCCTTCCCTGCACTTTTTTTTAACTTCACCAAAACAATACTTGTTGTAACTTTATCCTCTGTTTTGTGTACAAAAGTAGAGCATGCTATCTGTGATGCTGGATGGCAGACATTTAATGTACTGTAATTCATTAGATTTTTTTTTTTTTTTTTTTCAGATTTATACCATACTGTCTTTGTTTTTTCTTACTTGCTGCATTTAAATAGCTTCTTTCACAGTTTTATCTTACTGTAATGTTTTTGTGATTGTTGTTTTCTGTTATGTGTCAACACTTTTTGCATGAAAACTTTTGCATAGTGGCTAATTCTGTGTATGTAGACTAAGGCTGCAACGATTAGTCGACTAATCTATGACTAATTGACTATTAAAATAATCGGTGATTGTTTTAGTAGTTGACTAATTGGTTGGAGTCATTTTTCATAGAAAAGTACTATAAGAGTACCCCAAAATACTCTTATTGCAGCTTTTTACATTCAAATGTTGGCAGCTTTACACACTCCCATGATAATGAACTAAAACCCTTTGGCATGAGTACAAAACAAGATGTTAGATGACATCAATTTGGGGTTTTGGAGAGACAGATCGACATTTTTCAACATTTTAACACATTTTTCAATAAAATGATTAGTCAACTAATCAAAGAAATAATCAACAGATTAGTTGACAATGACAATAATAGTTAGTTGCAGCCCTAATGTAGACCAGCTTAATTTGTAGTTTTTATGTATAAAGGGATTTAGATTAAAAAAGTGTATCAGGAGCCACAGTGGGTTGCAGGTTTGTCTGTGATGGGCCTCCACAAAGCACAAGGCAGTGTATAACAATGTACCATTGTATCTCTTTTTTGTGTTTCCTGCGTTTGGTGTGAAGACACTCTTAAGTCTGTGTGTTACAGCTGTAAATCATTATAACAAAATCTGTGTCTGTTTCAGAGAGAAGAAGCAGAAAATTCATGACATCAAGAATAATATTAAAGAGGCTATTGAGGTAAGTAGCTCTGCTTGGATCATCTTTGCTGTCAGAAGACAAAAAATCACAACAAAATAGCTCCACATACTGTCAGTGGGATTTATTGAATGTTCATACAATCAGTCCTGTTCTGATTTTAACTATTACTAATCGTGTCCATCTTTGGACTCTCTGTCATCCACTCTTATATGTACTTTGTTTTGCTTTGTGTTTGTGACAGACGATAGTAACAGCGATGAGCACCCTGGCACCGCCAGTGCAGTTGGCATGCCCACAGAACCAGTACCGGATTGAATACATCCTCAACCTCGTCAGCCAAAAGGACTTTGAGTTTCCATCTGTGAGTAGAACAGTATCAGATAACACACACAAACACAAACTTACCTTGACATCAGTTTAAAAAAAAAAATGTTTTTGCAGGCTTAGCCTTGTTTTTATTTTTGTAGTTTTATCATGTGGCTCGCAGTGTCAACTTCAATTAGAACTACCGTGTACTTAAATTTTGACCTACCACACACACAGTAGTTGTTTATGTGTGTAGTTTTTAGGGTTGTACCCAACTCAGAATTATGCCAGTTACTGTTCAATATGAATATTGGACTATTTGTTCCTTTTGCCATAAAGATTTTGAGAGTTTGAACAGGGTTCAGTGGGAAGTTCAGTGTAACAGTGACCTTCATGTAATAGTAAACAAGCTAACTGAGCTAACGACAGAGCGGAAATGTGCAACATAATTTTTTGCCGACACAAGGTATCAAACAAAAGCCAGAGACTGTACCATATTAAGTTGCGGTGAGCTGTAAATTCACCACTTCTAAGCATAAAGGAGAAGATAAGATAACATTATTTTGGAGCCTTATGGTGCAAAGCCTCTTCTACACAGGCAGCTGCATTGTGTCTGCAGCTGCCTGTGTAGAAGAGCAGTATGAAAGTGAAGAGCACTCAATCTGCAGCTAAATCTGGGGGCCAAATTGTCCCCACAAGTACACTGCATACCATACTCAGTCGACTTAGGGATCGACAGCAATTTTAGTTGGGGATCTCTGACTGGTTATTTGAATGCCCGACTTTCAAGGGGCAGCCCTAGTAGTTTTGCAATAAATTGGAAGATTTGACAAAGCAATTCAGGTGCCCTTCCCCTTGTTTGTACTCCAAAAGTTGGGCTAGATGGCTGAGTTAAAATAAAGCTGTGGCCAACATGATACATTTGCAACAGGTGCAGGTGTCCTCAGCTGTGTGTGTGTGTGTGTGTGTGTGTGTGTGTGTGTGTGTGTGTGTGTGTGTATATGATAGTAGGTAATAGCCCCAACATCCCAGGTGATAATCCCTTGACACAGGTAGCAAACACTGAGATTTACTAATGACCTGATGGGTAACGTCTGTGTGAGTTTAGTATTCTCAGTGGGACATTGCCATTTACTAATTGTCCGAGCCAAGAGACTAAACCTTGAAGTCTGGGAGTCTAACTGTTTATTCACAGCCACCTGTGGGACCAGGCTTAATTCACTTTTCACTGAGTCTCATGTGTGAACAGAGGCTGTAGTTCATTTTCTAGTGATTTGAATTCATTTCCTTTAAACATCCTGCCACCATAGTGCTTGGTATATGTTGTCCTTGAGGCATCTGTACTCCTGTCTATCTTATCAAATTACAGTTCATGGCAACATCTTCAAAATTACACCACAGGTTTTCCTATATGCAGGACATGATTGAATATTGGAGCAACTTCACACATACATTTGCTTGTTAATTATGAAAAAAGGTTTCCCTGGAAAATGCTACAGTTTCTTAAACAACTACATCTGTGTTTTTGAATGTTGAGCACATTTATCGCAAACTGTATATACATCAACTTGCTGAATCTTGAAACATGCTTGAAAAAGGCGGACCGTGACATTAACCAGAATTGATCTCATACAACATTGTTCAAACTTCAAATCTCATGGTGTCTGAATGCAGATGGAAGTGTGGATTAATTTGAACAGTCGGCACTTGCTTGAGGGAAACTAGAGACTTTAGAGCTGCAGCTGAGCAGAATTACTTTCACAACCTCTGTTGGTTGGTTTGTTTTTGAAGAACACTTTAATCTGTGCTTGAACTACATTTCCACACTGTGAGCATGTTGATTTCTTTTAAAACTGTTCATATTGTTAGGAAATGATTTTCATATCAGTCCAGTATGAATGGAAACAATGGCCGCATGAAATGTCACATTTGCTTGCTGCTAATTAATGCATTCATTGGGGTAACAACTCAATTAGTGCAACTGCATGTGTTTAATGTACAGTTGTGATAATGGAGGAACATCAGTAGCTAAAGCACCTTTTTGTTCTTTCCATACAGTCATAGATGATGACCTTCACCAAACAGGGTCAGCTGTCCCACCAAAAGTAACGCTCACACATTAACCCTGCTTAAGTGTCGATGAGCAAGACACTTGGTGCTTCTCAGCTCCAGTGGTTCTGTTTAAAAAGCTGATGCTACACACCAAACTCCTTATGGGGATTGATAGTGTCACATCTCATATTTGAGACTGATTATAAAAGAGCGCTCTGTTTGTAAACACATGATGAGTTTGCTGTCTTGGAAAACTGCAGTATGAAAGGATGTTTTTTACATGTAAATGACGATGCAGCTGACAAGATTTCTCTCACTACCAAGTCATTGACATTACAATGAAGACACATTTTCTAGGTTGAGAGGTAGTTTGAAGCTGCTGAAGCAAATACAGCGACATATTAGAGTGTTTGTCCATTGTTGGAAAACCCACACAAGGACGATGAAGTCACAAAACATATGTAGACCTAGCTATGATGTTTCCGTGTCTTCCCGTCCAGTATAAAACACGACCTCGCAAGTTTTCAAACTAAAAAGGCTCAATAATGTTTTCAAAGGTCTTCATTTTAGGGGCTCGGAAACGCCAGAGTAGTGTGGACACTACGCGTACTGTAAATGTAGCAAAAGTTTTGCTTTTAAAACAAAAAGGTATTAGTGTGCATGTAGCCTTTGTCATACTGTTGTTTAAATAAAACAAAACGTGAATACATCACCTCAGGCTGTGGGGAATTATAACAATCATTTTTACTGATATGGCAATGAATCAGTTAATCAGGAAAATAATCAGAAGATTAATCAAGAATGAAAATAATGGCCAGTTGTAGTTCAGCTAATACAGTTCAACAAACGGGGTTTAGTTCACAAGCAACCCATATTAGCTTAACAACCTATTTGGTAATGAAAATGAGTGACCATCTTCACCAGATACAGTGATTTATTCATTTATGTGTTTGCATGGTGGCACCAGCGCTCTAATCCTGAGTGATTTGTAGCAAGTGAGCAGACAGCAAAATAATGTCTTACTCAGCAACACTTCATTAAGACACATCAGCTGTTACAAGAATCAAATCTGTGAGTTTTCCTCTGTGGGATGCTCTCTTTAACCACTAACTCACCCTGCTGCCCCAGGAATTCTACTCATGCTGAGCTGTTGGGAAGCAATTATTTGTTTACGGTTGCTGTTTGGCTTTACTTGTTTGGTTGGTTGACTTGTTTATGACGAGCACAGCATAGTTTCCAAGTTATAAAACAGGATGGCGAAAGTGTATTCTGCTTTTCAGTCGGCATGGGAGACAGAGGGACAGGGTTGATACCAGGCGCGCGCGCGCAGGTGTGTGTGTGTGTGTGTGTGTGTGTGTGTGTGTGTGTGTGTGTGTGTGTGTAAGGGACTGTGGCATTGCTAATTTACCTTGTCATTTATGCTTTACTAACCATTGGATAACTTCCTACTAATCATTACATAAAGCTAATTGATCTATTACATTATGTATATAATTGAAAGAGTGTGTGTGTGTGTGTGTGTGTGTGTGTGTGTGTGTGTGTGTGCGTGCTTGTGTGTAAGTGTAAGAGTGAGACAGACAGGCGTCCATGTATTCCCACTCTGGAACAAGGAAGTAGCCTGTGTTTGACCTGAATAAGGACAATTCATGGACACATCAACCACAAGGTTCCTGTTAATTCATTTAAACAGCCCCACACATACAAAACACACGGCTGAGTCACTCTTGTTAGCCTGTACTTTATCTGTACCCGTATCCTCACATCAACATATCTGATACTTGCCACAACCTGTGATTATCAAATAATCTACTGATCTACAATCATTAAAAAACACAGAAAAAGCAGCAAAGCCTCATGATTTAAAAAAAAAATAGGAAGTGGTTTGCCAATCTGTTGTTTCGGACTAAACCTTGAATAAGGTAGGGTAATATGTGATGTGTTATTGAAGAGTAAGATTCTTTGTTCTTCTCATTTCTCGCATACCTCCAGAGTAAACGGATAATCAGAAAAGTGTGAAAATTCTTGATGATGTGAAGTAAAGCAAAACTATATTAAAAAATTGTTTAAAAACACTCACACACTTGTTCAGAAGCCTGTAATCCAAGTCTCATTTATCCAGTTGTATGCTCAGTACTTCATCCCATTTTCACTAAACCTCACTATTTAAAACACTTGCACAAACGGGTAGCATGCCTAGGTAAGTGCATTTAAACTCTGCTTGTGCCTTCCATTGAGTTACACAGGTGCACTACTCATCTGTGTGTAAGACTGTTTATGTGGAAGTGTTTAGAATAGTAAGGTTTTGGTGAAGATGCATGCATTTGGGAAGTACTGAGCATACAACTGGATAGATGAGACTTGGATTATACTGTATGAGCTGTAAGAGAGTTTGTAAATGAATATTTTGATATAGTGTTGCTTTTTTTTAAACATGGCCGATTATGATTTTAATTCGTCAAGAATTTCCGTTGTTTTTGGATTCTTTGTTCACCGTGAGGTATGAGAGAGGAACAAAGAATTCACGGTAGCATGGGGTGAGTAATTCATATACAGATGGTCATTTTGTGGGTGAATTATACCTTTAAGACAATGTTCTTGTACTGCTGCTCATGTTTAGATTGTACACAAACACTGATGTCCAAGTTAATGAAAAAAAAAACACTGTTTTATAGAAAAAACACTAAAATTAATGTAAATTTCAAAAAGTACCCAGATTTTAAAGGTTGCTTTAAATGTATTTAACTGTACATACAAGAACTCACTTTTTGAGGAGTTTTGATATAAATGTCCACTTTATTGTACTTGCGTACTCTGAAAAGCTGCTGTTGGTAAATGTGACACATGCATACATAAGTGTGTTGTTTGAGGTTTTCATGCAATATACCAGCTCACATGCTCGACCTGGATCACTGTTTTTAGCAGCTTACCAACATCTGTGAAATGAAATGTACAGAGGACACCTGTTGTTCATTCAGTACAAAGAATGCAAGAAGAATAGAAATGGTTCACCCATGCTCTGTCCCAGCATGTGAACAAGTCCGTCTATAGTGCCTGTCAGTGTATAGTGAGGTGTTTCTCTCCCTTCACCACTATTTACTTTTAAAGACATGTACACAGGCATTGCCTAGGCACAACGTACACTGCATGTGGTGTCAACAAAACCGCTGAGTGCCCAGTGCCCTCAGACACACGTCGCAGACAGCACAGTACCCTGTCCTCCTTTCTGTCTTGTAGCTGTCATATTTGGTGTAGATGTAGATGCAGTGAACAATACAGAATGTCTCCTGCTTGTAGGAATACTTTCCTTTTTTGAATCAGGAGATGAAGTCTTGGCTGACCTGTGTCATCAAGCAGAGGTTGCAGAATTTTATGCTTAAAAACAGTATGTAATCAAACATTGTCTTGAGATTAAACTGAATGTTTTTGACCAGTGCATTGGATGTCGGCTTGTGTGCATTATCTTACTGAGCAGCAAGACTGAATATGTCACTCCTCTGTGAGTCTGACAGTTTCTACCTCCTGTCATTCATGTATTTCTGTTTCCTCCTCAGGAGTTTTACGACCATGCGAAGACACTGTGGCAGGATGAGGGGGTCCGGGCGTGCTACGAGAGATCCAATGAGTACCAGCTAATCGACTGTGCACAATAGTAAGTTATCATCTGCCAGCTATGTGGTGACATGATCTCTGAACTGAAGCACCAGTTCATCAGGTGCACCTGCACAATTTCATGCAATACAACGCAACATATTTTTAAAGCTTGAATATTTCTGTGTCAGAAAGCTGTTGACTTAACTCTAGTAATTTTTAGGATTGAGTTGGTGGTTATGTAATGTTGGATTTAGGGTGGCAGTTAATAAGTATTTTCTGAGTTAGTGGATTTATTGTTTTGTCTTTGTACTTAGTTGCATTTTTTTTTTAGTCTGTTTTGGTTCACACTGCCAGATTACAAGTGAACCAGGGCAGGCAAAGTCAAACGGGCCTGGGACATCCTGGTGGTTCTGTGATGTCAGAGTACTTGCATGCCAGGAAGCAACAGAGCCGCTACCACTGCTCAGTTTCGTGTACACAGTGTGGAGACAAAGAGAAACCATTACAGCTGAGGGGAGTCACACCAGCCTTCCAGTCCCTGTTAAGTGGATTATTCACTGTGTTTTAAAGAAAAAGGCAAATGAGCGCAGGGTTTCCCCGGGGAAACTGCTCAGTTGAGGTGAGGTAAAAGCTGCCTGTTGATTATCAAACTGATGTCAGTCTAGTGTGATGGATTGATGGGTTGTCTCTACTTAAACACAGATTTTCTTCCTTACCTACATTGCAACGTGTTGCTCTGATTCATTACTGTGAATCAATTGTAGAATGTGATCTACTAATGAGACATATTGATTAAATTTCAGGTGAGGTGGTGTGCATCTAGTATAAGCAGTGCTGAAAATCATATTTTACCGTCCCTGAGCTATTTGCTATTGCTGTTACTTGTTAATGTCGATGTGACTCTCTTCTCTTGTGTAAACAAATTACAGAGAACTCATTGTATAGATTGAATGGAATACCGCAAATATTCCTGATGTTAACTTTGGACAGCTTTACAGTAATGGGTTGTGTATCTCACCAGATGAATTCATGTCCAGTCATAAAGGTGCTATAGGATTTGGCTCTTCAGTAACATCTAGTGGCAGCTGCAGTGCACCGCCACAAGCTTTGTGCCCTGTGGTTAATTTCAGAGATGTGACTTAAGCCTCTGTGTACACATGTTGTTACAATGTTATTTTACACTAGAATACAGTGAAACTCAATTAAGGTCAGATTGTTCACTGGACGTCCAACCAGTATTTTACTCCAGGTCAGTTTGCATCAGTTCTCAGTGGAACTATGGAGAACTAATAGCAAACACTTGCTGAGCACATTTGTTAAATTATTGAGGCAACACAGGACTCACCGACCGTGATCTTAAACAGTTGTAAATCTCAGACAGCTGTTGTGTCTCTGTTATGTGCAAGAGACACTCATTTTTGTCTGTACTGATGCACATTAAGTCAGACACAGTTTCAAATATGTGTAGTTGACAGTATGATGTGTCTTGTAATCATCTTGCCCTACACCCTTTTAGACTTCTTTCTTATTCCCTTAGCGTCTTTAACCCTATACAGTCTCCAAAGCATAATCTTTTCTATGTCACATCTATATGAAACATAAGTGTTTGTTTGAGGATGGCACAAGGGCATCTTAAATGTGTTTTGTAACAGCTCAGTTGAGCGTCCAGTTATCATCTTCAAAGCAAAGGCAGGTAAAAACACAGAAGATAAAAATAATAGTGAAATAGTTTTCATGTAACAGCAGCAGTTTATAGTGTTTGGGAGCAAACATGGCCGAGGCTGAGTCATCTACAGATCAGAGGATGGTTTAAGGAGGAGAAGGGGTGATGTGTGAGGAGGAGACCATCACTGCTCAGCTGTGGACTACGAGCCTGTAGCCTGAACTGATTTTGAAAAAGTAAATGACTCTTGGGGAATCTTAAATGCTTTTAATTTAGCACTTTAGGCTCATTTGTTGTTTCTGAAAGTTATCACAAGGAGAAACTCTCCCCCCTGTTTCTTCCTCAGGTGGTTGAGATGGTACAGTCCAGTCTTTTGTTCCCTCCCTCCTCTCGCTCACACATCCAGCATAAAAACACAACCTCATCCTGCTCTTGCTTTCTTTCTCTCTTCTGTCTTCCTTTTTCTCCATCTCCATCTGTCTGTCTGTGTTCTTTCTGGACCCAGTCCAGCCGCACTAGATTGGGAGCTGATAGACTATTAATAGCGCCTGTGGTTGGGTCTCCATGGTAACCGTGCTGGAGGCCAGGGCGCTGGGGAGCTATTTTTGAAATCTGCTCTGTAATGTCAGACAGGCGCTACTACGCTTTCATTCTCTGTCCTCCTCTCCTTCTGTGTTGTCCCCCTTTTCACGTTCACTCTCACGTGCACTCTCATCTCTCCTTTTCACGTGTGCCTCCCTTCAGCTGTTTTTTTTTTTGTATGTCCATCTCTCTGTCCTGGAGTTTGTCTTTATTTTTTAAGAATACACAGGTTTCCATAGATCCTCATACTGTTGTGAGACGAGAAGTTTGATTCCCTTACTGTTGGTTCACCTGTGATGCTAAAAGTAATCTAGTTTTGTGCCTGTGTTGTAGTGGATGATGTTAGCTAACATGTCAGACCTAGCAAGTTCATAACATAATGAAACTGTTTAAACTTCAAAACCCACAAGTTATGTTATTGAAATTACATCTTTATATGATAAGATAGCAATACACTGTTCACATCAAGATTGTTTTGATCAGTCTGACCAGTCTTTTATATTTTTGGGACACAAAGTGTTTTACCCCCCAGGTGAAACCCCCTTTACAGTGTTGACTATCAATCTTGGCTGTGTCAGTACAGTTAGCAGCGTCATTGCGGCTAATGTTAGCGGTGTTAACATAGTTAAGTATGCTAAAGACGTCCTGCAGCTCAAAATGAAGCTGCTTACTCACCGGGGCTATATGGGGGAGGTCAGAGGGTGGCCACCATTTGTCTGCAGCAACGCCATCCCGACACTGCTGAATCACAGAATGAGCAGTGCCACAAGCTAGCTCCCACCAGACCTAGGTAGTGCACAGTGCAGAGCATTCAAGGCTAACGTTAGCTAACCAGTGGAGGCAAAATTGGTAACGCAGATAGCCAGCTGTCTGTCAGCAAAGCCAACATGAAGAAGAAAACATTAAAAGGGAAGACATTTATAAAATGGCTGGGGTTTTGACTGTTTTCAAGCTTTGTCTGTGTCAACCACTGGGCACAGTGTTGATTATGAATCAATCACAGCATACTGTAGCAATCCACAAGCGTTGTATAATCCACCATCCTTGGACATTGCTGATCACTTACGTGTCACATTGATAAATCATCATCAGTTCAGAAAAAAATTGAAAGCAAGGATGATTGTGTCAGACTGAAAGATTCCCAGAAAATACTTCCACATTATATCGTGTCATTTCCAGGAAATTTAAAACCATGGCAGATGTTGCAGGTGGCCTATCTTCTCCAACTCAATAACTGCATATCAATTTGAAAAATGCAGCATTAAATGAATAATAGTGCCACACACTAAAGGCCCGTTTCCACCGCAGGAACTTCGGGGTAATTTTACGGGGCCGGGGCCTTTGGTGCGTGTCTCCACCGCAGGAACCACCCCTGAAGGACAGAGTTCCGGAACTTTTACTGGGGCTAAACAAGTCCCTGCCTCGGAGTAGGTACTCAGAACAGCCCCGAAAGACTCCTGGCTGGGGCTTGGGGATTACTTGGTGCTGATTGGATATACTCAAGGAGGGATGTGATGTCAACAGAAAGCGACAAAATAGCCGGCATTTTTAAAACTCAGCAGACGAGGGTTAGCTCGTTCATATAGCTTCCGCTGCCATCTAAAAAAAACCTCACTAAATGGTCCGTGAAAAAAATGTCTTTTCCAGCGGATATCTTAGTTACAACATGATTGAGCTAGCGAAGCAGTTTTGTGTTGCTATGTGTGGTATTTATTCAGTTTTGGGAAATCACGATGTCTAGAAAGCATCAGTGGCTGCTGCTGACAGGGACAGCTAACAGCAGCAAAGGTAACAAACAAAAAAAATTTTTTTTACGGGCCATTTAGTGAGTTATTACAGACACCGCTAAGGGCTAACAGCGTCCCTAGTCGCCCCGGTAAATGGTCGCGCAACGATTACGTCACATCCAGAGCCCGTAACTTTACAGGAACCTTCCTCATACTCCGCTCTCTCAGTGGAGACACGGCGGTTGAGAGGGCAGAGTGAGAGGACATTCATGTAGTAGTTCCTGCCCCCCAAATAGTACCAGGAACTTCTTCAGTGGAAACGGGCCTTAAGTTTGCTTGTGTAGGGCAGCTGGATTTCTTCTTGTGCATGACAGAACTGAGGCTTAAAAAGTGCAATATTTACACAAGTGAATAAAACTTGATTGAGTCTGGGATTTTTGAACACGTAGGACCCTTTCTTTTTTGTTGTTCTGATCACTTGTAGATGTGTTTATTTCCTTTTGGCACGTGCTGATGCATTTTGACATATTGGATGAGCACTTAAGTGTTTTTTCTGGCTACTAAATGAGCAGGGGTGATGCCTCTGTCTGCCGTAAAGGTCACCTAACCGCAATATCATTCATTTTGGTGTCGGTAGGAAGTTTCAGTCACGCCAAAATGATGTGCTAAAGGCCATGATGTACAAAGATGTACAATAATAACATATTTGTACGATAATTTTGCCCTCTGTACAATCAATAGTGCTATAATGTACGATAATTTCACTATTTTGTGACGCTTGTGGCTGATTCATTTTAATTAATTTGCCGACATGATCAGCACAGCGACATATGAATCCTGTGTCTGTGTTTACTTATCTCTTCTCATATGACCTCTTTCTAGCAAATCATGCTAGCTGTAGGCTATGACAAACATCACAAGTCACGAGTTTGTTTTTTTCAAAGTTAATTAACAATCCAATAATATTCAATACAAATGCCAGTACAAGGAGTATTCGGGGGAAGAATGAAGTAATCACAAAAAAACAAGCAGAAATAGAATTGTACAGTGTAAAAAGAGAAGAGAAGAAAAGTCAGCTCTGTCATGTTTGGATTTAAAACTGTTCTTTTAGTTTTTTTATACTGATTGTTATCTGTACAAGTCTTCAACAATGAAACCACAGTCTGATCAGTAATATTATCCCTATAACAGTGTTCTTACCTGTCATTTTTTTCTTGTCTCCCTTCAGCTTTCTAGACAAGATCGACATTGTGAAACAGAGTGACTACACTCCAACAGATCAGGTGGGTGAGTCTCTGCCACTGTGAAGTGTATTTACCTACACTTCATTATGCGTTCTTCTCCCACGGAGGTATTTCAAGAGGAAGTGGGTTTGAAAGTGAGGTCTTTATCAGTCATTAATAAGCGGTCTATTACTGTTTGGTTTCCCTAATAACTCTTACTCAAATTTAATAGTGCACACTCATGTTGGAGAGTAAAAAGAAGCAGTGTTGGAGCTGGATCTTGATCTAACTTTAGTACTTTTGTTTTCAGTTGATTTGTTTTGTAGAGCAGTGTAGCTTATTTACGCTGTTATTTTACTTTTAAATTTAATATGATTTTTCAAACCGTCAAAGATAAGTGTTGTTGTCTTTTTACCAGAGTTGCCCTTTGAAAGCCCAGAAATGGGGGCAGAAAATAAAAACATCTCCTGTCCCAGTTTCTCCAAGTTTTTCACCCTGATCTAGAAAATAAGTCCAGGACACAGGAGAAGAGTGTAAAGCTTGCTCCAGATCTTCAGCGTAATCTTTCATAAGAGATATCTTTACGATCTTAGGAACCTTTTTCTTATAATTTCTGTTCTTTTTTTTTTTCTTTTTTTTCCCAGGATTTGCTGCGGTGCAGAGTTCTGACTTCAGGAATCTTTGAGACAAGATTCCAGGTGGACAAAGTTAATTTCCAGTAAGTAAAAACCTAAAGAAAGGGCAGTGCTGTAATAAACTGAGTCAGAGCTTCAGTATTTACTATGTACAATGACTCAGGATATTAACAACTGCAAATCTAAGATGTACCGTTTCTCCACATGATGGCAGTATTTCAATGGTGTCTCTTGTTTGATTTACACAGTATGTTTGATGTTGGCGGTCAAAGAGACGAACGTCGGAAATGGATTCAATGCTTTAACGGTAACTTGTATTTATTTCTGCTTCCTCTCACTTCACTCAGCTCCTGTCTTTCTCTCTCACTGTGTCTTATTTATCTCTGTCCCTCTGTCGTCCTCAGATGTAACGGCCATCATCTTTGTAGTGGCCAGTAGCAGTTACAACATGGTGATCAGAGAGGACAATCAGACCAACCGTTTACAGGAGGCCCTCAACCTCTTCAAGAACATCTGGAACAACAGGTGAAGAAAGACAGACACTGGATCTGTCTGCATGTTGTTTTCTGTCACTCTGTAGAAGTAAGATGGTGGGAAAAATGGCTTTCTGAAAGTGTGTTTACACAGATTCCCAGTTCCAAAATGACATCTGTAGACTGGAAATCTGAAAGCGCTCTCTGAACATCAATTAAAGTTTTTTTTGTAACTGCAGACAGATGATGGTTATTGATCAAGCCCAGTGTCGAGGCTGGGAAACTTTATAAACCGGCCTGCTTTTTTCTCTTGAATGTTTGCATAACCAAGTGCAGGGGTTCCCTAGCAACAAACACAGCATAACACAAATCAAGTGTAGATCACGTACTTTATTTACAAGTTCCAGCGGCGTGTAAGCAAATAAAAGTTGCAGAACGGCGGAAAATTACCAAGATCTTTGGCAGCGTCTCACATCACAGCAGACATGGTGGTCACTGAGTTTAATGCCTCAGTTAAAACGTGTTTATCCCAGCACTGAACCCAGACATTCAAAACGTATTCCACCTTTTGTGTTGCAGGTTTTAGTTGTGGAAGTATGCTAAGCTGGAAACAGAACAAGTTTGTGCAATTGGGGATCCATGCAGACACACTTTGGGATAATGTTTTCTTGGAAGAATCTATACTTTTAAGCCCCTTTCCCACTGCACAAAAAAACACCTGCTGAAATCTGGCTTTTCTATGTAAAGGTAAAGGTTACAATCAGCATTCACACCAGGGTCAAAAGACTCTGCAATAGTCACAGGTATTTAACAGCTCTGGCTCCGATCAGCCCAAAATTGTTCCAAATTAGTCTGCACCGAGTTTGAAAGAGAGACTCATTGGCCTCCATGCTGCTTTCTACTGTTTACTAACCTGCTTTCCAGCCTGTCTGTGATGTAGAACCTGACACACTAATAATGTGTAAAAAAATAAACAAAAAAGAAAGACATGCTCGTCTGCTGCAGAGCCGTGTACACAGCCATAGTCTACTGGCAATGGTATAGGAGTCTATAGCCTAGCAGCTTCTCCCATGTTTAATAAACCCACACACACACACGCAAATTTGTGTGGAAAAGGGGTATTAATGTCACCCACTGACCCCCTGTTTTTATTTATTTGACCAAATCCAAGCAGTGTGTGTTCTTTTTGTGTCTCTCTTCACATTCAGACAGTTTGACGGTTTAGTATATAACACTGATTTGTGGTGTTTTGCTCTCTCCAGGTGGCTGCGGACCATTTCTGTCATCTTGTTCCTAAATAAACAGGACCTGCTGGCCGAGAAGGTGTTGGCAGGGAAGTCCAAAATCGAGGAATACTTTCCTGAATTTGCTCGTTACACCACACCTGACGATGGTGAGCAGTTGTACCACAGTTGTAGCCACTTCCAGACACTTTTGACCTCATACTGCCTGTAACTAAAACAAGAAAGGTGTGATTGTATTTGAGGAGTTCACCAATAATAAACTCTCAGCAACACTGTCCATGTTAGTAGCTGTACAAATATGGGTGGCTTTTTTAGATTTTTTTAAATATCTCCTGTGGAAACTGCTTCTTTATTTCAGAAAATTATCTGATTATTAGAGCTCTTAAAGGTCTAATTATTGTTTGTAAAGTAGGGTGATCGGACTCCCCAAACTGCCTCAAAGAATCCCAGCTGGAAACTGGTCTCTGAAAAATACCAAGATGTCCCAGTTTTTCACCACCTGTGCCAAATATGTCCCAGTTTTTAAAAATTCACTTGCATGTCACTATAAAAGTTCCCTGAGCATGCAGAAACATCCCTATGCCTCCACTGAGATACACCCAAACACAGTGATAGTTCTGTTCTTTAAAGTCATGGTTTTCTTCCCCTATGATTGAAACAGCTGTGAAAATACCTGCACAAACTCTTGACATGCTATTCCTCCAAAATCTGGATCTGTGAATGATGGTGCATTTAGCATTTTTGGCCACAAGAGGTCATCCTTGATCCTTGAGGTCGTTCTGTTGACTCACACTTTATCACAACTAGAAAATGACTCACTTACTCAAGTTGTTACATAATTACTCAGGTAACATTTGCTTACTAATAAATGCCCACAAAAAAGCCAGTTTCCATCCTGGTTGTTGTTGTTGTTGTTTGAACCGTCAGTGTTTGAGTAGTCCCTGCCTGAAAGATGGCATGTTGTAAGACGTGGTTTCATTAGTCTCTCTCTCATATTTCAGCGACACCAGAGCCTGGAGAAGATCCACGTGTCACAAGGGCAAAGTACTTCATAAGAGATGAATTCCTGGTAAGTGCTATAGGCATAGGGTTGCTGTTGTACTTTGTAACATGCAAAGTTCAAAGTCTGGTCATAGTCTGTATTGTTCTTATTTTTAACAAATCATACAACCAACACCAACGATAACCTGATCCCATTAACAAGTGTTGTCTGATCATTTTTCCACATACACTGACCTGCTGCTGTAAATACTCACTGGAGCACCAAATGTGTATCAGTCCGCAGTTGAAAATAGTCCCTGACAAATTCACCATTTGCTCCTGTTTTGAGTTATGTCAGTCTCCAAACCCATTGGCTATCAGTCTGATGAAGATAAACAGGCTCTCCGCAGTCCCCACAGAATTATGGAATTAGTAAAAATCATCAAGTTTTGGAAAAGTCATGGAATTTCACAGTCACATTTTCCAGGCCTGGAAAAGTCATGAAGTTGCTACAAATCATTTAAGGTTTTAGAAAAGTCATGTACTACTTTTGTGGGTAGTACTAGTGACATTGTTAAAGTAATCTGTGAATCGGTGAATAACCTCTCACATGATGTAGCACAATTTATGATTTATTTTCTGTAGCGGGCGACGTAACATAGCTTGAATATTCATCGATGTGTGACGTTTTGTTTACCATAAGAAATGTTTCTTCATTTTCTCCCCACGTTCTGTCTCTCTTTTAATGTATACTTCAAAAAAAATAAGAGGAACAGTACTCCAAGTTTATCAAATTTTATTTTGCAACACAGACATTTCGGGTCTGGCCCTTCTTCACTGTACTCTGGCAAACAACAATCCAATATGTATTGTTTACCAGAGTACACTGAAGAAGGGCCAGACCCGAAATGTCTGTGTTGCAAAATAAAATCTGATAAACTTGGAGAGCTGTTCCTCTCATCTTTTTTAATTTTACACTTTATTTGGAATTTAGCACCCAGTTTTTTGTTTCTGTGAGTTGAGCGCATTCTCTCCTATTTTTGAATCTCTTTTAATATATACCAGCTAACTGAAATTATGTTTGAATAGTTTGAATCTGATATTTCTGATATGTTAAAAAAAAATCACCAGGCAAATTTAACAAGAAAAAATATATATTATGGGTCATGTCGGTGAAGATTCTCAGTCACCCAAGTCATGGTAATCTTAAGTGCTATAATATAGGCAACTGGACTTGTTTGCGTTTCTTGAAGCAATTGGAAACGTCTTCAAGAAACTCAAGCAAGTCCATTTTTGTAGCTAATAATGTGTGGGAGCCCTGGATAAAGCCTCAGGGGTAGTTTGGCTAGTTTCTAAAAACAGATATCTAAATATGAATGCAGATGCATTTTTAAGCTGACATGTTGTCAGATGATAGCAGATGGGATCAGAGAATCATTTTGGCCAGTGCATACACCTCGCCACACTGACTGTTTCCTTCAAACATGATTGCTTGACACTATTGTGTAACTTTCAAAGTTGAACCGCCACTGCTACTGGTACTGGTTGTAATAACAAAAATGTAATTTTTCAACAAGCTGCATGGATAATGGAGTAGACTAAGAAGCAGTTCTGCTCCTCTCGCTTTTCTAATCACATGTAGAGCTAATCTTTTGTCTCTGTCTTTTCTGTGTGTGGGCATGTGTCTGCTCCTCTAGCAGTTATATTCAGCTATTACTAAAATAATATAAAAAATAAATAGGCCAAATGCTGAAACTGTCACGGCAGATCGCTGCTGCAGCGATAGTTTTGCTCGCTGGAAAGCAGAGGGAGCGGCCACAAAGCTCCATGGCTGGCTTCAGGGTGCTTCTGCCTCCTGTCTGAAGTTGAGCCTGGCAGCTCTACCGAGCTCCGTTATGGACTTTGGAGCTCCCCCCTCGTGTCTAAATCCGGCATTCTCACCCAAATGTGCGCTCTCAAACCAAAATTTGGCACTGATTTATTTAACGTGAATTAGTGCTCGATAATACCGATGTAATTCATACGTAATAATATAGTGCCCAGCTGTTTTAGGAAATTGTATTTGCCTTTTTTTAGGGGTCTGAGTGTCACAGAGAGGGTCAGACATTTGGAAGTGTTGAGTCCATCTCATGGGATTTGTTGACAGTTAATAAATATATAGAATACTTGATCTACCCTTGATTTGTGTTATTAGCTAAATATGGCATAAGCAGTAGTGTGTTTGTGCCCTGTTTATTTGCTTTACATAGACTCTCATTTAAAAATAAGAGTGAGACTGCTGCCAAAGAAAACCTCAACAGTTTGTTGCAGAGGACAAACTTAGTGAAATAGTTTCTCACTTCTTCCTTTCTCCGTCTACAGAGGATCAGCACAGCAAGCGGGGACGGCAGGCACTACTGTTACCCCCACTTCACCTGCGCTGTCGACACGGAAAACATCCGCCGTGTCTTCAACGACTGTCGAGACATCATCCAGCGGATGCACCTGCGGCAGTATGAGCTGTTGTGATGGGAGAAGAAAAGTGTTCGGCCAAAACCACATTGGACTATGAAAAACATCCCTGAAGTCTCTGAACTCCCCTCTTCCACAGAAGTGTGTGAGCTCTTGAGAAGGAACAGGGGCCAAAATGCACGCACACAGACACACATGAACACACACACACACAGTAAACAGACCCTAAACCCAGAACTTCCCCTGATGCAAACTCCCAACCTGCAGTAGACAGAGCTATTTTGGTGGAAGGGTTTTATGGCTATCACAAAAATGGACTCCGATCTCCACCTTCGGCCATACTCCCAGCTCCACATCATATATCATCCCCATACACGTTACGCTCACCCTCCTAGAGACTCTGAGTGGCCCAGTCTGGACTGTATTTCCTGTAGTGAGGAGGGTTTGAACCGTTCAGATTGTGAGATTTCCCTCTTGTCGAGGTCGGGATGAAAACTGAGCGAGCTACTACTTCAGTGCAACTGGGAAAGAGATAACTGTTGAATTACTGCAAATAGAGAACAAACATGTCGCAACAGATCAGCTGAACACTGTATCTAACAAAAAAAGGCACTGTGCTCAGGACAAACCGTGTATACCAATCCTTCCTATCACTTACACACATCCATGAATCCAACCACAGGATCTGCTTGCACACAGAAACGTATCACACCTGCTTTTTACTGGACTGCATAACCGGGTTGGATCCGGAAACATACTGATCTGCTGACGAGCGGCAGGCTGGTTGAGCTGTCAGCTGATTTTTCCGGCACAGTGCTTTGAGATTAAACAGACTGCGCACCCGAGCCCTGAGGAGCAGTGTTAGCACAGACTAAACGGACCAGGGGTGTGTTGTGATAAGTCAGGCCGCAGGGGGGCAGAGGCTCGCTTAAAAAGGACAGAGCTGACTCCGATGTGAATTTCTCTGATGGAGTCATGTTTGACAGAGACGACGATGACAGCCCCTCGACTTCTCCACACTTGACTTGCCTTGTTGGTGTCGGAGAAAAAAATGCGAGGAGGATACATTGAGTTTAAAACAAAAAGAAACAAAAAAAAGCCAACTTTTATGGAACTTAACTAAATGGAGGGCAAAAAGCATCCTTCTACAGTACCATATAAGTTAAAGAGAACTCTCATCTTGTCATGATTGACCCTGTTTTACTGTCTCCACAGCTGTTTTTGTCTGTGTGGACTTTTGTGCCATTGTGCCCTGTGCGCTCTCTTTCTTTATCTTTACTCTCTCTGTCTCTGTCACTCTTGCCTTTTTTTCCCACCCCCGTTCTTTCTCCTCTGATGCGTTTTCTCTCCACCTTGACATTTCTTCCCTCCCTCCCATCTGCACTTTTACCTCCCTGGCAACAGAAAATAAAATATAATACTCCTGGAATATAAAAAGATGACAACAACAAACAGGACACTAATGGTTTTTTTTTTAATCCATGGTCAAACAGCCTGCTTGCACCTCCCTGCCATTCCTCCCTCTGTCACTCCTCCTGTCTCTCCTCCTCCCTCCCTGACCTCTTGCTCCTTTGTACGTCTGTCTTTACATTACTGCTGAACTATTATTCTTGTACAGACTGTAAAATGTATTATTTTGTACAACTTTATTGAAAAAAATAACTTTTAGAAGATCCCTGTGCCTTGATCACGACTGTACGTGTGTAATGAGCTAAAGTGGGTGTCATACTGCGCTGTATAGCTTGGCCAATCCCCTCCTAACTCCCAGCCTCCTTTGCCACTTTCTTCTCTGTCTCTTTCTTTATCCCTCTCTCTATCTCTCACTATCACTTTCTCTTCACTGTCTCCTGTCTCTCCTCGGGGACGGAGGACAACCATTTGTAGCTTTTGTAGTTTTATTTCTCTCCCCTATCCTCCCCATTCTCTCTTTATGATTTAAATGTCTATTTTTGAATCCATATACCCCAAAAAGATAAATATATGAAATGTATATGGGTTTTAAAAAAAAGTATTTTATTAGAATCAAATGAACCTTGACAAATTGTACACTTGATAGTGTGCGTATTGCTATAACTTAAATCCTTTCAACTGAAGTTGTGTTCAGGTTTCTTTTGTTTTCCCCCATTGACATCTGCAAAGGACATTTCAAGGGTTAAAGCATTGCTTGTTTCTACACAAATCTTATTCTTTTGCTAAAAAAAAGGCCAAAAAAAGACAAAAAAGAAATTAATTTCTGTTTATTTTCTGATAAGGGAGGGGGGTCCTCCTTCCCAGCCTTGCACAGCAGAGGCGGCCTGTACAGTATTAGCATCTCTCTCATTTCAGTGCCCTAGTCTTCATTTAATGTGTACATCAAATATGGGTCTCTACTTTCTGAACAGAAGCTCTAAGAAATAAAGGTTTTTTTTTTTTGGTGCAGACAGCAACAGGTCTGTCATTACACATATAAACTCACAGACACAGGCACCACTGCTCTTTACTTTATCACATAAACTGCATTTTTGCAGTCTTATCTCTCAGCTTTCATCACAAGAACGGTTGTTGTAAATCCATGCCACAGGAAATGAAGTTTCCTGCTCGTTTACCAGTCATTTCCTCTGTAGATACACACAGCCTGTATTTATTGGGATGACGGTGAAGATTGTAAAGTCAGTCTCTGACAGGAGGACCTCTGGTTTAGAAGCTCAGCAATGTGGAAATTCAGGTCGACTGTTTTATGACAAAAGTCCCCTATTTGCCTTAAAGGCGTCCTGTAGTTTGCTCCTCAGAGAGTCCCAGAAGGGAACATTCATGTTGTTGTTTTTTAATGTTTTGGCTGTGTTGCCATGACCACGGTCAGAAATTAAACTGTTTAAAGATCAATTTCAGCCCAGATTTTAGCAGTTAGTCACTCAGCTCCTGTGATAAGTGTTAACTCCACACTACTAAACACACACAGCGAATTAATCCCATAGTTCACTCACCTAAAATTAGCTTCTCATCTTTTTAAAACCTCCAATACAAGACAAAACTTTGTGCCCAAGGTGCTCAATAATCATAGTGGATATACTCAAGTCTCTTATCTCAGACTTTCTTCAAAAGCCCAAGTGTTTTATAGCCATACAGTGAATTTACAAATACAGCATTTACCTTATTAAAATGTTTATGTAATGCTTTTGAGCTGTGACATGATTGCTGTGCAACCAATAGAGTGAGGGCCACTTGGGCTTAATCAACAGGAGCTAATTCACTCTGTTGGGGGCCAACCAGCATCAGTGAGAATAGCTGCTAGTCCCTACCTTACAATCATTTTAAGAAGGTCAGTATGAGGGGATCAAAGGCAGCAGTATTTCCCCAAGAATGGAAATAAAGTCATTTGTAAAACTAAGTTTAAAGTTAATAAAGGTAAATTGTGACCTGGAAGTAAAATCACAGCACGGTAACCAGTCATACATAACATATGTGTGTACTTCATGTAAATAAATGTAAACCCTAGCATACTATTTGCTGAACAATGAAGGGATTACAAAAAGAAAACATGACGGGCTTTAGGGAGAAATATATCACAACAATGTGTATGTGGTTTTAGGGTCTACCAGGAATTTCTGTATTTCAATGAGGAATGCTGTGCCTGGAAAAGACACTTAACACACATGTTCAGGAAAAGGACAATAGTAGTTTGATTCTGGGAATTACGGGATTAATCATGAATCATGTTTTCTGTGTAGGAGTCTGAACAGTGGAAACTGATTCACAAACTGCACCTTGGTAGACTCCTGACTCAGCTCTTAAATGATTCATGTGAGGCCTTGAGATTGTTAGCCCGTCTCTAACACTGAATCTTTGCACATATATTTGTTTGTCTTTTTAATTTTAATTTTTTAATGGCTGTAACAAGACTCAACAGGACCTGACCCCTGCACTGAAGAGCATCAACCTGGATCCTAATAAGTGCTATAGTGTGAGTCTGTATCTAATTGATCTCTGACCACTGTATTTGCCATGACGATGAGAATGCTTTGTGTTAATGTTACAAGAACATTTAGGATAAAACACTTAGAAAGTCAAGCTAGTGTAAGCATCAATAGCAGGGCCGTAGCTGCTGTTGAGGACACTGAAGTTATGTCTTCTAATATTGGGGGGCTATTAGTAAAAACTTGCACATAGTGGATATTTTGTATGCTGATTTCAGGCTCAAAGCCTTTGCTACTTTTAGGGCAACAAAATAATATGTAAAGGTTTTAGCATGGAACTACTGTTTATAGAGTGCTGCAGGAATAAGTCCTAAGAACCCAGAAATGAGTTAGCATGTTAGCACTCTTAGCACCCTCGTCTCAGAGTCAGTGTCAGTTAACACAAGCTTAAGAGACTTCCCCTTTTGTTCTACAACATATAATACATTTGTAAATACCCCACTTGTGAAGCTTTTATGTGTCTTAAAAAAGGCAGTTGCAAACAGGTGACTAAAAATGAGACGACAGAGCATCGTCATGCTGAACACGGCTTTACAGCCTTGTGCTGGCGATGTTAGTTCATTCATGTTCCATGTTAGGTCGTGCAACTGTGGTTTATTTATAGCCTAACTAGTTTTTTACTTCTCATGATTGCATTTACGCATCCACAATCATAAAAGTTGTGGTAATTTGTGAACATAATCCTGCTGAACAAAACATGTAAGGGTCATAAATGTTTGTTAGCCACAGAGCTAATTTTCTGCAGTAATTCAAAATCCAATGTGAAAGTCCTTTTGGCTTTTTAACTCTAACTTCCAGGTCGGCCTACAAAAAAACCCATCCTCCACACGGCACACTATTCCTGACGTGTTGAGAAGGCTTTGCGACTGCATGTCATGTTGGGAACATAGACTGTAAAAGTAATGAATGTAGCCATTGTGACATCACCCATTGGTTTGTGGACTCCCATTGTGAAGCCCCGAGTTCGGCTTGTCGGCCGTTACTGTCTTGATGTTTTGGAGCCAGAAGTGACCACATCTGGACAAGAGGCTGGTACCGTGGAGGAGCGAGGGATGGATCTGACTGAGGAGCTGAGGACACTATTGGCAGACAGCCTGTCACTTATGCATGACTTAAAGCCTTAAAAAATATAAACAGGTGAGTCAAATGAAAATTCATCCCCGTACAGTTGTCATGAATGGGAAAATTCAGCTATAGAGACCTAAAAGTTTGTTTGTACCAGGCTGTAAACTTGTTTATTTCATATTTATAAAATCTTAACATGGAGGTCTATTCCGATTGACTGGCTTCCAGAGGCAGCTGAGAGTATCTGTTCAAAGAGCTGCACCTTTTTGCACTTCTGTATTGGTTTCATTTTTTAGCCCTGGAGATTGCGGCTTGTTGGGAAAAAATGAAATAACAATATTATAATAAATAAATAATCATGATAATATAATAAAATGTT